GGAAAGGTGGAGGATGGTGGAGTGTCACCGGGTTTGGGGTGTTGCTCATCTAGGTCCTCCAGATTTGAGAGCTTAGAATAAGTTGGTACCCAATGTTTTTCTGCTTCGTCTATTTCAGTAGGGGAACCCTCCCCAAAAATAAAGTAAAAGGGCACCTGGCTGAAAAACCTAGTACTATTTGAAGGCAGCTTCTGGTTCCTGGTTCTGGGCCAAACAGAATACTTGATAGTGTGTTGAGTGCTTCAGTGCTGCTTCAGTGAACTTTTGGTCTGCTGGGCAGTGGGTGGTGGGTGTTGAGTGGTGGCGGGTGTGGGGTGGCTGGCGGTGAATCTGGGGTTCTGTCTGTGCGGCAGACCGGGTGTTGGGCCAGTGGTGCGTTGCAACTGCTCCTGCCACTGCTTGGCACCTCATGAAAAGGAAAAGGTCGAGGACACCCAATGGGAAAAAAAAACACACACAACGACTTTGCGCATCTTGAGTCTTGAGCCAACATGGCCAAGTTCACTTGCTCCCTTATTCAAACGATCTCACGACACCACACCTGTTCAAGTCTTATGTCACAACAATTGCACGTTGAGATTCCATGGAAGACACAAACAAACAAACAGGTGTTGGCACCCTCAGGTGACCAAAAGATCCAGAAATAAAAGGCTGACCTTTCGAGCCATGACGAAAAGTGGGTACCAACATTGGAAAACCGAAAGGTGGATTCGCTTTGGACAGCTGACTACCGCCCCATCCTGCTTCTTTGGCTTGGGTTGGGATGCCTTGCGGATATTGAGAAGGAACCTTTCATGTGGCTGGCGGATTTCGCTTTTTTTCGGGCAAACTTTACAGGGTAAACGTGCATCTGAACCAAGCGATGTCATCCCTCGCCCGCATAACATGGAAGCAACTAATTTTGCCTCAGATGCCTAAGAGTTCTCCATGTGTGGATGAGCACTTGCCAATCTGCGGATGTCTACGTCCGCGAATCAGTTTGCAGCTGGGCTTGTGTGTTGTCTTTCCTGCAATAAGTGCATGATAGGATGTAGCAGGTATGTATGGCTTCTACTTGTTCAACGACTTACGTGACCCTCTTTCAGAAAATGAAGAACACACACACACACTGGCAGCTGAAACAAACCCGCCCCGCCCCCTCCCCTCCCCCATTTTCCCGCAAAACGGGCTCCATCGGCTCAAAAGGGGGAACAATATATGGGTGTGGCGCAAAATCCGGGATTGCTTTCTTTTTGGCATTTTGATCTAGCAACTCCAAGGGCTTTGCAGCCTTTTAAACGCACCGATCCATGTCAGCCATGTCAGTTCCCCCCGTTTCCGGGCGTTACGACCGCGAACCTCGCCGGCCCCTGCCTTCACCTTCTTGGCGGCCCTGGGTCCGTTGCAACCAGCCCAAGCGAAACCCAACTCAGGGATCCGGATGCATTATACACCCGAACATTGCAACTTGTAAAAGTTGGTGTCCTTTTACTTTGGTGTTGAAAAAGCAACATGTTCCAACGGGTCAAAAAAATGGAGATCTTTTAAGGAGCCCTGCAACTTGCAACTGCCTTTCTCCCATGCAACCCAAAATCCCCTCGGTACGGCAACCACACAACAGTTGTTTGAATGCGGGTGCTGGCAAGACCCCAGATAGCAAGAATTGAATTGGACACAAAACTAGAACCCGCATCTTGCGCAGTGATGGTCTGCACCAGCACTCTGCAACAGCACCAGTTGAGCCACACCCACCCCTTTACTTGAAGTTAGAACCCCCCATTATAGCCTTCAGCTATGGGCAGAATAGAATCATCGTTGTTTGGGGTACCATGGGGAAACCTGGGTCAAATGGAGGCACTCACTTACCTCGACAAAAGTAAGGGCAAATGAATGTGCCTGAGAAAGAGCATGGACCCTGAAAGACAGGGGTTTCCCTTGCACATTAGGCATTGAGGATGCCATGACATTAGTTGAGGTCGAGGTATCAGGGGCAAAAAGGAAGCGCAAGCTTCCTCAGCCTTCTTTGCGAGGTGCTCCTCAAGCAACGCCGCACAAAACTGTCTAAACAATGTTGTGTCAACTCCCCCCTTCAGGTGCCCTCAGGAATAGAAAAAACACTACCTGCGGCCCAAGAAAAACAGAGGCCGCAGGGTTCTCCGTCTCCTCCTCACTTCCCGAGTGGAGTGGCCAAAAAAAGTAGCCAACCTTCTTATTTACCACTACAATGCCAACCAAATCCAAAAAGTGACTGAAATTCAAGAGGGAACAAGTATCCAAGCTGAAAAAAAATACACTACAATGGCATTTAAACCCAAAACGTGACTATATAAAGTCCAGGACAAACAACCAAGCTGGTGCCCTTCAGGAAAAAAACAAAAAAAACAACACCTGGGACCCAAAAAAAGCAGAGTCCTCCGTCCTCCGCTGCGTCTTGAGGCTGCGGCCCTGGTCGCAGCTCTTCCTTCAGCAGGGGATGTCTGCATCCCGTGAAGAAGGGCGGCGACAGATCCAGGTCCGCCTCGAGACATGCGCCACCCGGGGGGGGGGGGGAGCGGGGAGGCGCCCTGGGGAACGAGCCCTTGAACAAAACCGCAGGTGCAAGTGGGTGGCTCTCTCTTTTTCTGGGGATTACCTGAAGAAAAAAAACATAAGCTGTCTTTCTTAGAGGGATCCCCGACAAAACAGAATAAGGAGGGGAGGGGGGCGTCCTCTTGGATTTCCTTCGCAACAAAACAAGGGTACCCTCGAAAAAAGACCACACACAAAATGAAACAATCCCTAAACAAACAACATGGGCCGGTCTCAGGTTGGCACTTCTCTAGCCGTCCCCATAGTGATCTATTTTCCAAGAGAAGGACGGGGAATCGTGGCAACCCTTGAAACCAGCCAAATTTGAGGGCTGCTCCGTGAGAAGGAACACAACCCTTCAACTTGTCAACAAAAGAAACACTCAAAACAAAACAACACCCAATGAAAACAACCTGAAACATTCACGGGTGCCCCGGTTCGTTTGCAGACCTTCCCCAAGAACCTGGAAAACATTAGGTAAGTCACAATAAAAACCCGATACAAAAAATGGTCGACCCAGAACCATGTAAAGAACTAAGGAGGCGGCCGCAGCTATTTATGGCTGGGAGTGCCCCTTACTAACCTTCATCTACCCGGGTTTTGATTGTGGCTCAGGTCAACCTTTGTTTTTTCCTTAGTGGATGACATCCCTGCCCGGCTTTCCCACTGCCGGCAAATACTCTGGGGCCCGGTGGGTGCACATCAAACGTGGGTGCACCTTGTGCCCCTGTTTGTGGTTTTCAGGGAAACCAAAAGGAACACCTCCAACTTCTCACTTCTCGGACGGAGTCAAAGAAGCAGATTTCTTCGCCACTGAAATGATCCAAAGTCAAAAAGCGACTAACTGGGAAGTGACTCGCTCCACAACTGGGTACATAGCTCAGGCTCAGGAAGCGCAGATTCTTTGTCACCACCGAGATCCTTTCGAGAACTGGGAAGAGGACTCGACCAAAATGATCCATCCCCTTATGGTTGCATCCAATGACCCAAGTGGTCTATTTTTAAACAGAATCCCAGTTTGAGAAACTCCCATATGGATGGCTCATTTTTCGGTTGAGGCCCCTGTTGGAGCGGTTTTAAAGGGAAACCAAAAGGAAACCGAAGCCATTTGCGGGCGGTGGATGGACGAAATCACCAGCTATAAGACCATGGTTGAAACCCATCGTTTGCTACAGTATTTTCGACCGAATCGTTGTCATTCCCTTGGGTTTCTGAAGTGGTGCGATTTCTGCATTTCACAACCATGCACAGTACGGGGGTGTCTTTTTTCGAGGGGCCCCCAATTGTTTGGTGTGTTTCATCCGGGAACCACTAGGAACACCGTGGTTTGAACCATTTCGGAGGGGTCCAACCCGAGTAAACTTCCTCAACCCTTCGCCTCGGAACGAATGCGCAAGGCTCGCGCGAGCGGGTCGTCGGCTTGCCGACTGCGGCGTGGGCCTCGCCCACTTTGAGCTCCCCATCCACCACCGCCAAATCGCAGTCCTCGTCCGGGATGATGCGGCTGCACCTCAGAGATGCACGAACGAAGAACGAAGGGGTCTAGAGGAAGGGGCTGGCACCCCAGAAAACCCATATCCAATTCCGCAGAAGCCGGTAGCTTCAAAGAAAAGAGGAGGAGGCTGAGAATGGTTCTGAGAACCCTTTTTTGCGAGGGGGGCGGGGGGCCCCGGCGGCCCCGGCGGCCCCGGCGGCGTCTCAGTTGGAATTTGGAATGAACCTCAACTAGGTCCTCCAGTAGAGAGGTTAGAATAGAGGTACCAACTTCTTTTTTTTCTGCAGTCTAGTTTAGTAGGGGGAACCCTCCCTACCAAAAAAGTTGGTAAAAGGGCACTACTGGGGGACCTAACCATTAATTATCCAACTGATGGTGTCTAAGGGAATCCCCAGCTGGATTTCCCAAAACCCCAAATGAGAAGTTGCAAGAAGGACACCCAAAAGCAAAGCCGCGAAAAGGCCAGCTCAGTCTTGGCAAAAACAAAACCAAAAAAACATACAGGGGTTATTGGGTATCGTCCCTGGAAACTTTGAATGTCGAAGCTGTGGGCCACAATGGTATTCGAGATGCACGAAGACCCTAAACCCTAAACCCTAAATGTGACCATGGGTCTGACCAGCTAAGTATTCGGGGGGAACAAAAAACAAAGACACGGATCCCTGCAATCAGTCAATAGCGTTCTAGGAATTGGCCACTGTGATATCAATGGAAAAAAACCCTTCCAAGCCTCTTCTCCCTCATAAAAGTTGGGGAAAACAACCCCTTCCTAGAACCATGTTGTCAAATTGGGCGACCTACGTGGTTTCTAAGAAATGCACTCCAAGAATGGAACCAACCCCCTCCTAAAACACTGTTCAATTTGGGTGACCTGGATGTTTGTTCAATGTGGGTGACCCAGCCTACATGGTTTTCTTTTCAAACGGCTTCTCTCTGCAAAACAATCAGACCTGGCATG